CTTCCATGACTCCACATGAAAGGGTTTACAACGCACATTTGAATTTAGTTTTGCTTCTTTTTATCTACTAGTTTTCTTCGGCTCCTCTTCTCCCTGTACCTGAATTAAATTATCTTAATGCCCAAACTGGCAGCCCCAACCGGATAGATAAACGTAAACGCATAGGAGTTCCCTAAACAAAAAAAAAAATCTAGCGTAACTCCACTAATAAAAAAAAATGGAGCCCAAATCTGGGGCCGCACATCCCTCCAAAGGACACAAACTAGAAAATAATATTGTGCGCCTGGGGCTGAATCTCTGAGATTGTGTTTCAGGGTCCTAGCGGTTGATCTGAAGAACTTTCCATAATCCCTGTACTCAACTATAGAACACAAATTGGATTGGAAAAGAAGAGAAAGAAATGAAAAATGAAAAAAACCGAAAAACATTGAAAAAAAAAAATGAAGAGAAAGGGAAAAAAAAGGCCAGTGGAAGGAGTCCACGTATACATAGTTACGTATCAATACACAAGAATACACATGCGTGCCATACCCAAGTGGGTTGATGGCGTCAGTGTTCCTGCTTCGAGCGGCCTGCAGAGTGAGTTTGGGGCCCTGATCGGCATCCTTTTTACCCTATCTACGTTTGCAATTTGTTAGGTAAGATATACTCTTGCATTCGGAATTGATGGACAATATCTTTGTGATTCAACTGATTTGGTTACCCTGGAAATTTACCCGGGTAGTATGTACAGAGTATGATGTAAGTGGAAGCCATATAACTATCGAGCGACTTGGAAGTGATATATATGGGGATTTACAGTCTCTCCGATTAATGCCCAGCAGGTTTCTCAACCAAAAACCAAAAATCATTATTGATGAGAAAAAAAAAGGTGCCCATGTGGCGCTATCTCTCTCAGATGTCAACTACCAGATATATTGTAGGTTGTTACTAATATAGGCCAGAAAGACAAGCGCCGATATCCAGGAGATATACTATTAGCAAGTCTGAGATACAATCAGGCCCTCATTGCGCAAAGAAATAGCCAGATATACGTAATTAAAGGTAGGAGTAAACCAATCATAAATTGTATACTCTTTGATGCTTTTTGATTCATTTGATCTCACATAATTAATAATAGCGACTCCAACTCAAGCCATGGACACCTGTTGGCATCAGGCTGGTACAGATAGTCTAGGAAACTAAATCATTCGACACTTTCCGTAGGTTGTCGGGCAGAGGTGCGATACATGTAACCAAAGACTACTGGTTTCTCGATTTCTCGAAAATGATTGGTTTAACTACATAGTACCACTACGGGGACATCAGCTACGACGCTAGGTGAAAGGTATCCCCGGAAGGATGAAAGTCATGTTAAAATATAGAAAGCATTCGCTGGATAGTCATATATCATTTGCCACTTAAAAAGCATGCTAGATACTCACTAAGGCACCATTGAGCGCCCTCGTAAAGTGGCGGCACTGGGACAGGTGTAGGTACATGCTCATCTCAACATGGACGGTGTAGACATTTGCAGGGTTCTCTGAAGAGGATTTGTGTAGACTCTCATCAGTACAAACCGAGTCAATATGTTCAAATATAGCAGAACGAAGTACAATAGATGTCGAAGTGTTCTAACTTGGCATATTTCAGAGTAACCTTGTGTAGTTCATCCGACGCCGAAGGGGAAATAGTATTAATCCGTTCGACACGCAGAAACGAAAGGCCGTCCTCCGTGCGATCATCCAAAAAAGACTCGGGGAAGTAAACAACTGTATATAGCTTCAAAATAATATCTAATACCAATGAATCCTCTGTACAAATGTTGTTGCTCAATGCGGCGCTTTCGGCGCTAGCCCCCTTGAAAATTCCTCCCCCGCGAAATTTTAGTTGAAACTTCATTTCTTGCACCTCGCGTCCTACACTCTCTTCCCTCCATCTCCCGGAGGCCCGCTTTGCCCACAACCCATCATTTTTCGTGAGGTTTTGGGTCATATATCGCGCGATGAACTCTCGCGAGCAGTCTGACATGCCTCCGGCGCCTTCTTATCCGTCTCCTAACGGTGCGCAGATGGCCCAGGGCGTGCCTTCGTATTATGGCAACCGTCAAATGACCACCGATGAGCTGCTGTCCGCGGAACTTTCGCGTGATGCCTCTGGTCCAGGACTTGGCGAAACGAACAATGGTGTTCACCATGGCCAGTCTATGGTGTTGGGTTCCTCCAATGCTGCCGACATGGGTCGAACCTCTTCGGAGGATCAACACCAGCACCAGCACATGCTCCAGTTCCCCCCGAGTCAACAGGTGGGCGTAGACCCCAACCACGACTTGAGCTATGGCGAACAGAGTGCGCGGAAACGATCCAAGATCTCAAGGGCTTGCGACGAGTGCCGTCGAAAGAAAGTAAGATGACAAACTTCCCCCCAACGCGATTGTGTACCCTGGAAGCTAACACGCGTTTTTTTTTTTTAAAGGTCCGTTGCGATGCGAGCTCGGAAACCGGCCTTGAAACATGCTCCAACTGCAGACGCCTAGGCGTTGTGTGTCAATTCAGTCGTGTCCCGATGAAGCGCGGTCCCAGTAAAGGGTAGGAAAAACAAGTGCGCCACCCCAACAATCGCCATGACTAACGGACACAGTTATATCAAAGAACTCGCCGAGCGGCTCCATACTCTCGAGAACCAGATGCAACCGGGAATCGTCCAGCCTGACGTGCCATACCAGTCCATGAACGAGGTGTCGCTCCCGAGGGGTTACCAGGATTTCGCCTCGCCGGTGGAATCGACTTCGGGCAATCGCAAGAGAACTTACTCGGTCTTCGAAGGTCTCCCCAGTTCCTCGTTTGCACAACCTTCTTTCAACGCACGCGTATCGCAAAATGCCTTCGACGCGTCTGAGACAGCAGCAGACCCGTATAACCCAGCTGTCGCCAACGGTGGCGCACCGAAACCTGGTAATCTGTTCTGGAACCCGACGGGCCATGAGAATGATCTCCCAAGTGGCCTTGAGATGACGGATTTGCCGAAACATGAAGGCGATGACGACATGACACCGGTGACTCTGGATGAAGGAGCTCTTGATGCGTACGTGCAATGTATAACCCTCGTAACTACCAGACACTCGGCTGACATCGGACTGCAGTTATTATCAAAAAATCCACACCCTACTGCCAATTCTTCCCCACACCAAGGAGCGAACATTGGAGCTTTTGCACCAATGCAATCGCGAGGCACAGGAGATTTTCTGCCATGCATTGTACAGCGTCACTCGAACTGACTTGTCGCGTGTGGCGGGAAATTTCGAGAAGACCACCGGTTTTGATAATGCTCAGGATCTCCTCATGTTCCACACCCGCCAGCCATTGATTGTCCAAACGACCTCTGTCAACCTTATCTGGCTTCAGTCTCTTTTGCTGATGATTATCGACTGTGACTCTCGTGGACCAGATAATTTCGTCCTGAAAGATGGTGTCCCCAAGGGCACCTTAGTCCAAGCAGCTAATAAGCTTGGATACGAGTTGGCCAAGAGCCAAGGCCAGCTGAGGAACAAGCGATCTGTGGATCCGGATGTTGACTCGGATGCCAACCTCACCCGGCGCAACTGGGTTTCTTTGGTCATCTTGGCCCGGTGGTACGCCATCAGTGTGGCAGATGCTACTGTTCTGGCCGGTCATGAGATTGGCGGCCGTGAAGATGAAAGGGTTGTTGGCCAAATCACAACCGGAATTGCCTGTATGTTGACGTTCCCTATTTCACAATTGTGCTATTTCGCTGACCCTTTTTGCACCAGCTTACTCGACGTTCCTTTCGGAGATGGTCACTTTGGCTACTGTCGACCACAACGTTTGCCAAACTAACTCCGGTCTGGGTCGGATCATCGGCGCGAACCTTGTCTCGTCCCTGGAGCGTCTAGCGGAGATGGAGGATATATTCCAGATCCACGAGTTACCCGAAAACTCCAACACTCGCCCACTTTACGAGAGCCTCCAGGCCCAACTATACTGGACCGTTCGTCTGCTCATCAAGCGCCACGTCTTCGTATATAGCCCTTACGAAATCATCTTCTGCGCGCAGGAGGTCATCAACGAGATGCACAAGTCAACCATGCAATCCCGCCTCCCATCACCCTTCGATCTACACAGTCTAGCCCTCGCCTCAATGACTCTTCTTGAGGCGACCGTTCTCCCAGAACACGCAAACGAATGCTGGGCCACCCTCGAAAAAGTTGAAGAGATCCTCGATCGCCGCTCCAAGCGCGCAGCAGAGGGCTCCGAGTTTGACAATATATTCGGCACTCCAGAGTGGGATTCCAAGATCCGCATCTTTATTGAGTGGCGCCGTATAAAGTCCCAGGAGAGCCAGTTACAGGAAGCTGACCTCGGTGGCCTCGCCAAGTCCCAGCAGCCGGTCATGGGCCCTAACGAGCAGCGTTCTCTCCAGCACCTTGCAGATCTTGCTGTTGGCGCTGAGGGCTCTGTCAGTCAGAATGCGCCGTCTACGCCTCCTCCCGGTATATCTAATGAGCAGGGCGAAGCCGAGCAGAATCTCGCTCCTCAGTTGACCCAGTCACAGGGCGGGTCGGGTCGTGTTGTTGTTGACTTCACTATGCTCACTAAGGAGGGTTATCTGAATGTCTTCTCTGGCTTGATCTACCGTCGCACACGTTAAAGTCTGCCTCGCGATCAAGCCGCATCTTTTCTTAATCCTTCTGTTGTCTAGCTTCTGAACAAAAGGGGGCCTCTCGGACAATGTTTTTCATTATGTAATATTTGCGTTGTTTGGCTTCTCTATGGCTTAGGTTTGTCTTTGCTATCTTATGCCGTTGTCGTGTCTCGATAATGAAGAGTTTAGCTCTTGGATGGAATACATATATGATTCATATATGAGATATCAATATCCCCATATCCCATTTCTGTAGTCACATTCCCCCATATGGCAATGACATGATATGATACGGTACGATATGATATAGTAAGATAATATACCAGAGAACAAGCTAATAGAAGTCCTTCACCCTCTCATTACTTTTGCCCGAATGCAAACCGCCTCCATGTTCCATCCACGTCCTCGCACAGAGTCATGAAACTGTCATCGTCGATCAACTCGCACATCCAGTTCTCGAGAAAGACAATCCGCTCAGCTGTTGGTGAAGACAGATACTGTGCCAGATGGTCTTCTGTCAGGGCTGGGTCTTTTTCATTTGGCTTGCTAGATGTGTTGTGGTTGGAGTTCAAGTCGGATAGATTAGTCTGTGTGTGCGATGTGTTCAGGAAGTTTGGTACTTGAGATACCTGATCAGTGGATTCGCGGATTGGAGCTGTGTTCTGCGAAACAGCGGGCTCCTCATATAGTAATAATGGCTGGCTTGCCTCGGGACAAGGATTTGTTTGGGACAAGATTTGGGAATCCGAATCAGGCACACCAGAATGAGTACTAGGTTCGACCACAGGATGATATGGACGGGGTTCTGGATCCTTGGTTGACTTTATAGGTTGACAACTTGGCGATGGAACTGAACGGGAATGTTCTTGTGTTGTTCGAGTCATGCTTGCAGCGGGCGGTTTCTTTGCGGTTGGCTTTGAGAAGGGCAGGTCTCTCTTGGGAGGGAGCATCTGATTTAATTGCTCGACGTCATGGATGGCAGATACGGTGGAAAGCTGCGAGCTTGGTTGATCAGGTTCTTTGTCAAAGGTCTTAAAGTGGGCAGAGTTATGGGGCAGTTGGAAGAAATCTAGCTGTTCCGTGCTTTTGGATGAGGGATTGAAAGCTGGTATAGGGCCAAATCTGGACACAGGGTGTGAGACAGTGCTCGCGGGAGATGATGCTCGAATGGGTGCTATCAAAGCGGAAATGTTAGTTGTTTGAGCGGTGGTTGGGGGAATCGTCACATACTTGTCCTTTCAGAACCTAATGCCCCAGTGGGATAAAAGTGGACTCCATTGCTACCAGTTGAATTTACCACTGTATTTGTAGTCCTGGGACCAATGGAAGAGATATGTCCTGATGTCCATGATGACACTGAAGGGAATCGTTGCATTGCTGGAAGTGGTATTTTGCCTTCTGTCAATGGGCAGTTTATTTCGCCCAGAAGGGCCAAGGCCGTGAAGTAGTCACGCTCTGTGATGAACTTGATCTGAAACCGACGAATCTGGGGAGTCAGAAGATGCTCCTGTTAGAAATCCTTACTCGTAGTCATGCCTAGCACAAAATATACATACATGTGTTCCACCATGAGGATACTTGACTGCAAGACAAGGCGACTTCACAACGACGGCAAAGTGTGGCCTTGAGGGTGGAATCAGCTGGGCCTGCATTGCTGCCATGCGAGTGAAGAAGACGAGATCAAGCTGTTCCTAAATCAGATGACCCGCATGTTCAGCATTGCTAGCTGTCAACCTTTCTGCGTGAGTGAGGGTGTACCAGGATACTATCGCCTCGAACCACTTTCTGAATCATCTTTGATGGGACTGGCCCGGAGTCAAGGAATTTCTCAAAGATGCAAGCCAGATCTCCATTTCCAGGGATATGATTCCAAGTCAGTGGACCGACATGATCAATAGCAGTGGTTGTATGGGAGAACTTGGCTATGGCTAGACGAAGGAATTGGGGAGGTATTGGTGGTTGAAGATGCTGCATTTTATAGAAAAAGATCAATTAGTCAACAGTGCCAGGTCAGGAGTCATCCATGGACATAATATAGATGATGATGATCGTCGTAGTGGAATGATGTTCGAGATGAGGGCGAGCTTGCGAGAACTTTTGGCCCAACACTTCCACTTTTAATGAGCAGTGTCTACCATCAGCAAAGCTCATTAGAGTGCAGTTATATATCTATATTATATCATTATGATTCAGCAAGTTCTATGTATGTACGTATACCCTCAGATTGTTAAACCTTTGGTATGTTGGCTCTTGAAAAGATATGACAGCTCTCCCAGAAACAGTCTGGCTGACCAAGCAATCAAGTGAGGTTTTCATCTTGATTATTTGAATTATTTCGAAACGGGGAATGAAACAATCAACCGGTGTCTATTGTTGCTATTGTCTCTATTGTTCCTATCCAAGAAACAGTATGCCTGAAGCATCAATGTATACCAAAACGCCATTTCTTAGTCAGCAGCGGGAACAACTAATAATCCGATAACGCGCCCTGGAGAAGCGCGGACTTTTGGCTGATCAGTGCCGTTGATCGCAAGCCCAGCTCTAGCCCTCCAGGGCCGCAAGGCATTGATGATTATTTTACTTTTGAAACTTTTCGTTGACTCTTATCACCTACGCGCAAATTTACTACTGCCTTAGAACTGCCATTGCTGCTGAGCACTTTGCTCTTTTCACTGTCGCATCCAGTGCTCCGACATTCAAACGCGCGAATACTGCGACTCAGCTCGAGTCACAGTCACTGGCCGTCGCTATCACCTCTTGCGGCCAGACTCAACGTTGTATCAAATTCTTACTTTGACCTTTCAGAAGCCGAACGAAGTGGCCAGTTTGACACCCCTTCAATTTCTCCTGCTTGACTCGTTTGCAAACAAAGACGTATCAAGGGCAGCATCTTTCAAGTCATATTTCCGAAGTCTGCGATCTTGAGATCGAAGGCCGTATCCCCGACCGCCCCTCGAATTTCGAGTTCAAGTTTGTCCGTCCCCCCCTACGAGGACAGAACCACCTCGTGTGTCTGAAAACGTGAACGGCGCAAAGCTGTCGCGCTCCCTCGACAGTACAATGTCTGCCTCTACTCCTCGCACCTCGCTGCGACGTAAGACTGCCATCTCTCAGCCGACAGGTGTGTCATCTGTACTAACACCACCAACAGAGGGCCTGCGCCATGCTCCAAAAATTAACCAACCCTTCATCCCCGATACGACCCCTGCCCGTCGATCACACATCCACCATGGGCTCACATCACCACAACCATCGACCAGTCCCCATCATGTAAACATTAATCCCGCCGCCAATCCCCAGAGTGCGCAGTTTGCGGTCGATAGCTGGGAAGGAAAAGACAGTCGACAGATTCCCATGTCGACGAGGGAAGTCCCAACCCCAGGGAACCGACCGGTCATCTTTGCACATCTGCGTGACCCTTCGAAAATGCCACGGCAATTGGATTATCATGACCCTTATTTCCCACTGAGATATCTTGAGGTTCCAAGGAGTTAGTCCCCTCGCATCCCATTAATTGATCAGAAATACTGACGGTCTTGTCTTAGCGGATCACATCTACAAGCGTGCCCACTATGGCCTGCAATCAGGCATCCCAGACGAAGTCGACTTCGCACTATACCACCTTGTACAAATTTCGAATCAACGATGGGATAAATTCAAGTTTGAAGGGTTTCCCTTGCTTGCGGAAACTTTGATGCAGAAAGCACTAGACATCACACAGCTGTGCACAGGGGTGAAGTGGGAATTCCAGTATGATCCTCGGAAGCCAACTGACCGTGTCAACGTGCTCAATTCTCTACATGGCACCCGGGATATTCTGGACAAAATTAGCAAAATTCCAGTTAACCTCCCAGGCGACAGCCTGGAGACATACGAATTCAATCATCGGCTGAGAAACATCAAAGAGGCTACGTTGGTGTTGAGAAACATGGTGCTCCTGAAGGAGAACGCCTTTTATGTGTCGCGTTACGCAAATGGTCTATTGCGTGACTTTTTGGTTATCCTGATCAATGCTCCCAATCAACCTCGACTCAATGAAATCAAAAATGATGCACTAGATATTGCGGAAGAGGTCACCAAGTTCTTGCGGACTGACCCTGAAGATCCGCTGTGGATTTCTTTGGTGAATTGTCTCGACTCCCCAGACCGCGCCCATGTTGTGCGATCTCTGTGGGCCTTGACACACTTCGGCACTGAGCTGGACGATGCGGATGCGAACCGGGCCATGGAAACCCTGACCAAACCGACCCTCCAGCAGATGTACTATCACACGCTTCTTGATCTTGACAAGGATATTCTGAGTGGTGCGCTGGACTTTTGGTATCAATACACGCTCAGTCATGACAATATCGAGACATTGATGGATGTCCTCAATTTCCCAATTGTCTTTGTTCCTCGCATGGTCGCGCTTCTTACTTACGAAGCGCGGCCTACCAAAAAGGAAACTATTCTTCAGGAAGAAAAAGTCGCACCTCCCCCCACTGACATCCCTCGTGTCTCTCCCGAGCTTTTGGAAAAACTCATGGAGTTATCTGAGCCGGAACGAAGCTCCCAATGGCTGCGTTGCTGCTTTATCGAGGATCCAGAATGCGAGATCACGCAGATCGCTTTATGGCAAGCCTACCAAAGCCGATTCGCAGACCCCCGTGTGACTGGAGGGGGCGTTCTTCCCGCTGCAGAATTCATCAAGAATGTCAGCAACACATTCACAAACGCTCAAGCACAGGTCATCAATGGCCCCGGCACTGCCACTAAATTTATTATCAAGGGCATCCGACCTCTAGAAACCGCTCACACATTCGAGGGCTTCCCTTATTCCTACTGCAGATGGGCAGACAACTCAAAGCCTTCCAAGATGTGTCAGCGCGCCTTCACATCTCCGACAGATCTTCGTAATCACGTTTTCGGTGACCACATGAACCTGGAACCTACAGACACCCCCGGTCAATACAAGCTTGATCCCGCAGATTCTCCCGTCCATACCTGTCAATGGGATCATTGTTCACGATTCCGAGCATCTGGGCCCAGCGCGAACACATCTATGGTTGCCGGCCACGTTTCGTCCCATTTACCCGAGGATCGTCCCGCGGATGCACGGCCCACAACCGCCAAGCGTGTGGTTCTTCAAGAGCGAATCGTCCGTAAATGGTACTATATGGATACTCCGGTTAATGAGAAGGGCGAGCCATTCGGCGTGGCCTATAAAGCTGCATTGGTGCTGCGCAACATTGCCCGAGGCCTGCCCAATCGAACAACGTCGAAATACGGTGGTCTTCCCTGGAAGAAGGCCTGTTTCACGAGCCAGCGCCCCAAGATCGTCGAAGTCTGGGACCGCAATCGTGCGTTGCGCAAGGAGCTTACCGAGTTGATCATGGTCATTGAGAAAGAGGTAGACTATTAAATTTCCTATCACATGTTTTTCGATCTCGCAACTACCTCTTTTTCTTTTCTCATGAATCAATATCTCTGTACGATTAATACCCTGATTATTCATGTTCCCACTGTCTTTCTGGCTCCCCGGTCCTCCATTTTGTCTAAATGTACAATATTTAAGAGCCAGGGCCATGTTTGCGGTGTTTGCTGGTTTCTGTTTTGTTCTTAATGGCTTGTCACTTTGATCTAAGCCTAAGTTCGCAAAAAGGCCCCCGAAGAGTGGAGTTGTATTACTACCTAGGTATGGGTAGGTGGCTGATGTTTGACTTTCCCGGCGTTTCTTAGGATAGAAATTCGGGATTCATTAGTTAGTATATTGAGCCTCGTTTAATTCACGCCTTCTTTCGTTTTACTTCCTTTTTCTTGTTTAAATGTGTCGAATAAAGGTCAAGAGAATTCACAACGATTAACATGATAATTGGTATAGTACTCCAAGTTCCGGTTCCCGGCTCCCTTCCAATGAAACAGGAGCCCACGATCCTAGACTTCACGAGTTCTTATAGCTCGATAGCCGCGTCACCTTGTTGCTTCACTCAAGAGAATTTCCGGCTTTGAGATATGCCTCCAACTAGGGATAATGAACCCCGTAATGAGATAGATCGTAACAACAGAATATTCCATCAACAACCCCATAGTCAAGAATGGGGCAATTGGACCACTCAGGTCGTTCCACCTCAAGTCGGATGGCTGGAACACAGACAGAAAGAGATATATGATACGAACGGCTATGAAGGGCGTAGCCAGAGCCGTGGCGTTGAGAATCTTGGAAGATATTAGCCCTGAAAAGGTAGATATGTTGGGGTCTGCGAACGAACCGTTCTGCTTGTAACTGAGAGACAAGAACGATGTGTCCAGAAATACACTTGCATGGCCAGTAAACACCCGACAAAAACCACCACGATGATGTATCCGGATTTGACAAGTTTAGTGCCGATGAGTACATCACTGTTGGTGTCGCTTCCTTCCAGAGCCCCGCCTGCAACGGTAAGTCCGATCCCGACAATAAAAAGGACTCGGGATACAACTAAGCATTGCCGAATTTGTCGGCTCATGTCTCGTTCAAGAGCAACTCTGTAGTGTATTAGACTGTTGAACATTCATGACATATAGTGGTATGGTATTCCGCAATGTCAACTTACATGATTCGAATAAATCCTAAAGTTGCTGCGATCAAGGGAAACACGCCAGCATTGAGGAAGATGACCGAAGCTACCATCACGCCAGTGCTGGAAGTCTTCTGTGCAATGATGACCAAGATGCCTGCAGTGATACGAACTAAAACCCGATCATGTTAGGGATACTAGATCCGAAACCTTGAGACTCTTGTAACAAGATCCTTACCGAGTGAGAAGAAAGTCAGGATAATCCATGCCATGCGAGGTCGCCTGTGTCGATAGCACGCAAAGTAGAGCGCAATGGCCGTTACCGGTATATAAAACACGATCTGTGCGATACTTAATTTTGAATGACTGCCCAACATGTTGATTTTGAGGTTGATTCGGGGTAGTTTGTTCCTCTGAGGAGTTTGTCAATAAGAAATAATCAATATAGAATGTAAGAGGAATATTGAGCCTTTTATAGACATCCTTCCTCGATTCTCCTGACAAACAACCCGGCTGTGCTGAAATCCTCTGCATAGATGCTCTCGCAAGATCAGCACCTCTTTGGGTTTAGCGTCGGGAACCATGAGAGGCCGGGCATTTGATTGGCTCACTGGAGCTCCACTGGCTCCACCTAGCCAGAGCCCCCCAAAGCCTCCAAAGCCCACGAACTTAATCTGACTCTGACTCAAACCAAGTGAGTCCGAGAAGCACTAAGCCTTACTTGCCAAGTCGTGATACCCGTTCTTCAATCGAATTGCCAATGTTGTAATACGACATCATATAAGCCTCGGCTTACGAGATGGTTGGAGTAGCTGGTAAATCACGAGGGTGCAACACCTGTCGGAAGAGAAAGATTGCAGTGAGTGCCGTAAGATCCATATATAAAGACCCCACTGACTTGGGCTTAGTGTGACCAGCAAAGGCCAATCTGTGCCAAATGCACGCGCTCAAACCGAGTATGTGGCGGGTACCAGAAAGATACAATATTTGTGTTGGTTCAACCAGCCGCGGAGAAAACACACATCTTTCTCAGACCTTCTGCTTCTCCACAGGGCGTTACTGAAAGTACAGAGCTGGAATTCACTATCTCTAGTCCAGCCACTGTGGTTCGAGACAATGAATTTACCCATTCCTTTACCGAGACAAGCTCCGCCTATGCGATACTACATAGACGCATTGAATGCCAAAGCTTGATTCAAGCCTTCCTGTTAAACTGTTTCCCATCTCCTTGGCCCCAGGCATCCCGCTCCTGGATTCCCTTACTTGGGGAGTTGCGTTCCAAAAGTGAAGCACTGGAGATGTCAAGCGCAGCAGTCGCAGCCTCGGCGCTTGGACATATGTTTCACGATCATGCCTTAGTCAAGCAAGGTCTGAGCTACTATACACAGGGTCTTAGACAGCTACAGAAAGCATTATGGGATCCTAGTCTCATGCGAGAAGATGGAACCCTGGCGGCGTGCATGGCTCTAAGTCTGTATGAGGCTCTTGAATGTCCCAATCTGGGATCAGAAGGCTATTTCAATCACTGCCGTGGTCTTATCGCTTTAATCCAATCCCGCGGCCATGGGGCACATTCTTCGGGCACGGGACATCGATTGTTTCTTGGTGTTCGAGTCCCAGGGGTAGGTCTTGTGAAAGCCCAGGAGTATTGTTTGTTTGCTAAAGAAATTGCTCTCAGATTCTGTTCTCTTTGATGAACCATACATCGACTATTCTGTTCGAGCCCACTTGGATGGAACAGCCTTGGGCAGAAATATCCAAAACGTCTCACGATCGCGTTGTAGATTGCCTCGCCCAAGCCCCTGTGATTCTCGAGCGAGTGCGGTCATTGCCCCAACTAAGTATAGTCCAACAGCTCGATTTACTCCACCGTTTGATTGGTGAATGCTGGCAAATTGACAAGCAGTTGGATGCTATTCATGATGACATGCGCCAATCAACGTCGGACGTGCTATACTGGCAGGTGCCCTCACAAACAGAGCCTTTCTTTGATTTTAGGAATTCTGGGGATTTGTTCCCGGTCGTTTTCTGTTTTCTAAACGCCCAGGTAGCTGCTACACTGATGCTTCTTTGGGCAACGCGAACGATGCTGTGGTCGGGTCTTTCCAATATGTACCAGCACTTGGAAAGCGTCACATCCCTCCAGAAACTAAGCTGTGTGGATCTTGGGCAAGATTTAGATCAAAGTCCTCTTTTGGAAGAGATGGGTACAGTCAATCCTATTGACCGTTGTGGAGCGTACCTATCCGTGGGACATCAAGTCTGTCAATCTGTGGAATACTTTCTCAAGGATGAGATGCTGCTAGCGGGGCCGTTAACTGTTAGCCCTGCACTTGGAATTGTGGTTGATAGTTTACGGAATCGCCCTGGTCATGATAGAGAAATTGCGTGGATACAAGCAGCCCTGGTGGTAGTTCGGCGAAAAGGACTTCGTGTTCTACAAGATGTGGATATATAATCAACTCAGTAGATGGGCAAATGAAGAAGAGACATAAACATGCGAGCACCTATTTATGAGATTAGACATAAGTCAGCATACTAGCCTCGCAGTTTTTAACATGTGCATATACTTAATTCTGAAATAATTAGTAGTACACCTTGTTCAGAGATATCTACTGAGAACGAGATATCGTAGTACATGGCGCAATGTAATTCCATGAAAGAGTTGAGAGAGCAGAAGCTAGGACTAGACTATGGAATTCGGCAGTAACAATGTCTGTAAAAGATCTCCACATTTAGTAGTCACCTGTAGGAATTCCACCCACAGTCGGAACATGCTGTCCATGGAATCCCAGCCCAACAGCCCCATCCACATTTGCCCGGCCAATTTCCGACAAGCTACGAGCATCAAGGCAGAGCAAATAACTCTTGCCACGCATCCCGTCAAGAACCACGCTGAGAAGCACACCATCATCCTCGGTAGTGCCCTCGGGGTTAGCAACGAAAATGGGCTCACCAGGCGATTGGCCATGGCATGCCCAGAGCTGAACTTGCTGGGTATCACAATCGAGCTTCACAATACCATCTGTCAGGGTAGCCTCTCCACGGAAGGTCGTAGCGTAAACGTATCGATGCTTCTGAGTGACTATTTTTGGATTCATAGTCGGAAGCTCAGGCGACAAAGATTTGCAAACGGACCACTCGACTGTTGCTTGCCTAGCGTCGGTGCATGGAGTAGAAGGCACTGCAGGGAGACGGAAACGGGTAAAAGATGTACGCAAAGAATCGTCTCTCTTCTTTTGAAATTCCTTGGCTGTATCCAACGAAGAAATCAAGTTCTCGTAATAGAGAGATTGCAAAAAGCCAGAGCTGCTGGCTCTCACAACATCTGCCACAATATCCATCTCTGCGGGATTCTCCTTTGATGGTTCGAGCCATGCGTTGATAGTGTGGAAGCAAAAGAATGCAGGGCTTTCGTATGTCGCGATCAATCCCTTACCATGCTTACGGTCAATGACATACCACACTGCCGGCTGAGTTGGGTCCGTTGGCAAGATTGACTCGATGAACGAGGAGTTCAACAGCTGTGGATTTATGTGTGCGTTCCACACACAAAGAACAACATGGTCTTCAGTGATGAGAAGGGAGTGAAGATATGCTGGGGTTGCCGGGAAGGTTGCTAGAATTGTAGTTTCCCCCGTTGAAGCCGAGACCCTGAAGACACGGTATGTACATGTTGGTCCTAGGGTAAGATTGAAGTTGAACATGTCTCCCGTGATAGGGTCTGAGCGTGCGTGAGATGCAGAGATTTGCCCCGAGAGTTCAGGGTGCAAGATAGTCTGCGAGGCCAGGCCGATAGGCTCCAGGGTTTCCGGATCAAGCTTCTTGAAGGCATTATAGTCGGTCTTCGCGTAGAGAGTTCTAATTCCTTCGGAATTGCTCCAGCGAGAAGTCGACTCATCAGGGTGAGAATCAAGGCCCGGAACGTTGATCGAAAGGGTGACGGATATATTCCTACTCGACGGAGTGGGTTGTGGGATAAATTCACTCTGGACTTTGCCCAGGACGCTCTTGCAAGGATCGCGTTTCTGTCCGAAACTGACCGCGTCTAGAGATCCCGCCTTTCTTGCTTCCTCGATCAGGTCATCGGTTGAGAAGCGAGAGTTGTAGAAGACCCGAGATGAAGTATGAGAATCATCTGGAGCAAATATCTGGAAACGATGGGTTTGACCGAATCCATCGAACCAGTGGGAGAGCCGCAGTGTTTCTCCGTTTTCTGCTTCAAGTTGGCTTTTCCCTGGACCTGTGCGGTATAAAATTCCAGCGGCGTATGCAGGAATTTGTCCAGTCATAGATAGCTCGACGGGCTTGGGTTGTTCGTATTCAGGATCGAACTAGCAGGGATTAGCAAGTTAGTTCGAGATGTCCACAACTTCACTTACACCCTTGTCATTGGGCCAGTTATTGTAATGATCTTCATTGGTATAATTCTCCATGACTGCCGGGTCTAGACCAATAGAAGACATTTCTTTTCAATGTTGTGATAGTTAGATCGGTCTTGAGATAATTGCCTGATGTTTCAGGCTAGCAGTTCTGAGAGCGTGTCTTTTCTTTCTTTCTGACCATTCACCCTTTATATATATTTCTAAACACTTCATTATCTTGTTTTAAACGAAGACTCTCCTATCTAGCAAGCCTAATTTGGGGGATCGTCATTTTTAGCGGGGGAATCGCGACGGGCTGAATTACACAACCGACTTCTCCTTTTCCTCACCAATCGTCAGCGTCGAATTACCGAGTCTCGCTCATCATCGTCATTTCGAGCCGCGCCAAGTCTGCAACTGACTTTGGATCTCGGATTGCATATTCGATTTTGGTTTCATCCGGCACATCTCAGCGGGATACACCCACTTGAAAGCTGTCTACAGCCAATCTGCCGACAGATCAATAATCCACAACCCCGGATGCTGTTCGGGGCCGTCTATTACACCGATGCCAATCCCCCATAAAACAACAAGTATGGAACTCCGAAACCGGACAGGTCTAAAGATGTGGATATGTAAAACATGTTCCGCCAATTTTCAGCGATTAGATCACATGAAACGCCATGCCCTTACTCGTATGTTTCCAATTATACCCAGGGCCGGTACAGTAATGACTTCCTACAGATCACACGGCAAAGAGCCACCTCTGTTCATTTTGCGGCTCTGCATTCAGCCGAGGGTGTGTCATATTCCACCACTTCCAAAGAGAGAGATGTCACCCTGTCATGTGTGCTGACAAGAGCCACCCAGAGATGTACTACGGCGGCATTGGAAATCGTGCAAGGCCCGTGTATACAGCGGCCATGCAATCCCCGAACCGGAGCGCGGTGGGAAACACAAACGTGCTTGTGATAGTTGTGCAAGCCTCAGGAAAGCCTGTAGTGGGGAAATGCCGTGTGCTGAATGCACCCAACGAGAGAAACAGTGCACTTATCAACGGCTTCTCGGCGACGAGAGACCCTTACCATCCATATCAGACGAGCTTTCCTTGTCATCGACATCGCAGAATTTACTAGAGATCCCCGCTGAAAGTTCAGGTGCGAAGGATATGGTCCCGAAGGCTTCCGAGTCGAGTTGGGACCTTGGCCCTGCAACGCTTTATCCATCTAATAAGGAAGTTCTTGATCGGCGCCGTGGGTTTGTTCTCGGGTGATAGGAAAGGCTAATACTTAGTAACGCTCAGTCACATGTGGGATGAGGCATACATCGACTGCCTGATTGCGAGCCAAATGGTATGGCTATCGGGTGAAGATGCGCCCTTGACGGTATGACACAAACTGAATGTGATATTCAAATGTTATTGGAGAACAGCTCGGCTCAGGTTCCTCCGAAAAATGATGACGGCGTACTTTCCGCTTAGGACACTGTGTCATTGGAATTTGAAGGATTGAACGACTCCATACTCTCTCGCCTTTCCTGGACTATCCAATGAAAAAAAATAAGAGCAAGATGGTCAGAGCCGGGTCTGCATTATGCTTGATAGCTGCGAGCAAGCGCCATCTGAGGTGCAGATCTTGCATATATTATATTAAACTCATATAAAAGGTCTATTTGGTGGTCATGGCAAGAGTGGAGATTTATCCATGTATATCTCTGTGAAATCCGGACTCCCCTTCACTGGCTCCCCGATATGTGTTTTCACCGCGGCAAGAAAATAGAATCAACGCTATCGTAAACATTCTCAATAAAGTTCTCATAGCTCAGCCAAGCCGTGTCATCGGAATTGTTTTGCAAGGTCGGGTCACTGAGATCCATCGCATCCCACACATTAGGCCAGGGAACCGGCGCAAAGGAAGTCGGCAATTCCGCGATTTGCGGCTCTTGCGTTTCACACATGGCCTCTCCCAACCCAAGCGAAAAATCCGTGAGACCCTGTTGAAGCCCGGGTTGTTTGGAAAGTAACCCGGGAGACATATTATCGAAAGGATACCGAGGCACTGCCTCAATACCCAGAAGCTCGGTTCTACGAGTTCTCGCCTGTGACATGAGCCTCTCCAAAGGCCTCCAGAGCATCCCGTGCTCAGAATCTGCAATTATGAGTCGCGAGCGCTGGTAAACGTTGTCAACGACAGTCCAGTACTTTGACATCACCGCCGGGCTTTTACAGACGCAGAGTTCGGCAAGGGCCACAGCCAATGCATGCCACGGAACCCACATAGAGCCGTACCATCGCCAAGGCCCGGCGCCTGGGTAGTCGTATGCCTCCTGCGACCAATGCAGATTATCAGCTGCTATCTTGAGGAGGACGTTCTCTTGAATCTTTGGGGGTATGAAGTCCCGGCTTCGCTTTAGCGGCCGTAGACATGCTAGCTGCAGCCAGCTACCCATAACTCCCGCTGTCTTTTGCGCGTACCATTGGAAATCAGATAGGTCGGGCCTGCAGCCGCTCAAAAGGTCTGATGCCTTTTGCTGGAAATCGTGAACAACTTGCTGCCGTAAACTCATGATGGTTACAGCTTGCTCGCTGAGGTCGGAAAAGGCAAGGGTTCGGGTCACGGACGCTGAAGCTGCGATAACTAACGTGTGCGTCATGTCGGTAAATTTACCTTCTGTGTGTTCGGGGATTGGCCCAGGCATGTCGAACCATAGGTCGTCGTCGTTGATGTTTGACGGTAGATTGTAATCGAGCCAGGCGGATTGCATCATCGGCTCGGATGCCCTGTCTAAAGAAGCTGCTACATCAAGAAGGCCAATTCCTAGCCATGCTCGTTTGCGCATTTCATATTCAAAAGGGCGCACTGTGAATGGCGGTTGGCGCACGTGGAGAGATAATGCCTGGCCCACTCGAAGCGCCATGCTCAGCATGGTCCAGACCCTTCGGCTTTGGTCTTGACACCGCGCAGCAAGCTAGAAGCGTTCATATTAAGTTCCCATCTTGAGATAAAGGACACGAAAGAGGAGGAACATGTAGTCGTACTCACCAGAGAGATAATATAAGCTTGGAGGACAGTAAGGTCGTTTGTCGTGACAAAGTCCGCCCTTGCGAGCGCGAGCTCAGTTTCTTTCTGAAATTCTGCAATTATTATCTTTTTGCTCGTGTTGAACATTGACTGGCATTCAACTTCGTCCAGAGTGCACACAGCGCAAAGATACATAGCCGAGGCAAGGGTGGCTGGCGCCTGGTGATCTTGCTCATAGTCAAGATAAGGTTTGCCATCTTTAATAAATGCTTGCAGGGACGGCCGGTGTAGAATTTTGAAGACAGGATCGACATTGTGGAAGAAAATGTCACATAACCTATGTCGGATTTGGGGTTGAAGGTTTAATGGTTTGTTGGTTTGAGGTGAATTTGACGAGCTCTCGGGGCTTTCTGAGCTCACAAGCGATGTACCAAAACCAGATGCCGAATCTTTGACATTGTGATCTTCATTTTCTAGACGACCTTCCAGTACACTGCGTAATTCTTGGGTCTAGTAATTGGGATATGAGTCAAAAGACATCCGCAAATCATTAATTCAACAAGCTCACCTGCTGCATAATATCCTCCCAAAAGGAGCCCCCTACATATGCAGTTGCAGGGCGAGGAAGATGTGGCTGGCCTGCACTGGATAAGTAGTCATTGTGATACTGCCGGGTATCTAGACCGGCGTTGCTAGCCTCTGTCACCGGCTCCTGCTTCGCGTATGGATACGCGGGCGCAGGGGTAGTTTGAGGAAGCTGTAATCTATCCTGCCGCTCATTGGCGACTCTTTTCAGAAGGTTCTCAAGTCGCGCTACCCGCTCGGATAGTTCTTTGTCTGAGCCTACAATCCGCTCGGGTCTTCGCGTGCGACCGCGCGGGAGACGCGCACGCTCGACCGATACACACACAAGTCCAAGTCGCTGGCAGCTTGTGCAAGGACTTGACTTGTCGCATTTCACTTTGCGCTGGCGACATGCTTCGCAGGTTAGGCGGACCCGCGGCGCGGAGGAGCGCGAGTGGATTGTCCCGGCTTGGCCCTCGGGATCGGCCATTATTTTGCGCGGACCCAATCAGTCTGGATAGGCAAATGGACTTGAGGTGAATTGAGTACTTCAATGTACATATATGTGTGTTGTAGATTCAAGACCTTTGCATGCGAGGTTCTGCCTGACTGTTGCTTTGACCCCCGCGAAACCTATCGATCCACATTCGATGTTCCTGGCCAATCAGAGGTCAAATTGGTACGTTCTGTGATGAGCTGAGTCAAGTTCGTATAAAAAGAGATATTAAAGCTATGAACTAGACGACAGTGTTTCCTTTAATTAAGAAGGTGTGTGATAGTTGACACTTCTTATTCTACGTATTACTCAAGAAAGGTGCTACCCTCCAACCCACAGCCTTGTATCCTCCAGTTCGCAACATTCCTTTGTTTTCAATCAACAATGTTCCCCTTCTACCTCTATCGGACCCATCAGATTACAACGTCTCAGAATAAGATGATTATGTCCAAAGCAATCAATTTTCTAGAGCGATTGGAGATACCGAGACCTTTATGCCCTCACAGAACATGACTGCACCGATTTCACATGGCAAAAGACGAAATAGTCCAGCTGCCTATGTACTTATTACGATATAGTCAATTTATCAGTACTTGCTTGGGTGTATATATGCTAACTTGACTAGAGCAGCCCCAATTTAGAAAAAAAACCCCCCGAGTTTCTACAGGCGGACGTCCTCCAATGCCTAGCATACACGGGTATCTTAACTTAGAATCTACAGGCGATATCGGAATGCATGAGTTGATATAAATAGGTATAATTCGCCATGTTACTCGCGAAGTTGGAAGGAAAACCGCCGAGATGGATGTTGCATCAATCCAACTTGATGTCTAGGTATAAGTATTCGCGAAGCATACTAAAATGCTACTTTTTCATTATCAAACTCATAACTCGATGTCCAAATAGCAGACGAGAAAAATATAGATTGTTTCCCTTCTTTACAAAGTATCCTCGCATTGTGACGATGTATGGAATGTTCGACCGAGTCGCATACTTCAAGACCCATACCCGGGAGATCGCGACAGTGAGGGACTTCAGTAATCCCATCAAGGCATTTATATTTGTGTTTTGGCTCAAGGGCGAGTTGATTCAATACCCCGGGTGGTAGAATGGATGCCCTAAAGAGACACATTAATAGCAATGAGGAAAATTTACCGAATATAGCAATCGGATCTTTCCTCCATTCTTAGCGTTTTAGCTACTCAGTGGAAATTTTCGAGAATATTCAAGTAATAAATTTGTGAAGCAACACCCAGAAAAGCATCTCAAAGGGTTAGAAAGATAATATTGGCCATGGAAATGTCACCGGGAATGAGAATAGTTTGTATTATACAGCGCGTATGTTGTATAGAGCGGACATGCGGGGCTCATTTATCGCTCTACAGACGAGGTTTCTAAACCAGGAATGGATTTGCATGAGTAGATCACAATATCAATCAATAATGGACAAAAAATTGCATCATCTAACGGTCAATGCTCTGTTATCGATTCAAATTCTCCGACACCGTGCACGCGGCATTTTTTCGGAGAAGAGCGGCTGGGGGTATCAATTGATTTAGATCAGCATTCAATTATGAATTTTTTTTTGGATTTCACCGACAGATAAAGCGTTCGAGAAAGTGATCAGCTGTGATTAAAGCAGTAGATGTTATTGAGCTGCTTTGATGACCAACAGATATCCCCGAACTCCCCGAAATTGGAGTTTTTTGGGGTCCAGGATCGTGCAGGTACCAAATTGGGCTGCAGAGGTGTTTGCAGATCGCAGGAACAATACGGTTGCCCCCCACTTGGACTATTGCCCTTGTTTCTTTGGGTTTTAATGGGGATTATTTGACACTATTGATTTTGCGGACACATTCAACAATGGCATTTAGCCATACAAGAATGAACAACAAGTATGAAATGCAAGCGAGTGAAAGGCGGATAGATGAATAAATGATGTGAAAAAACCATACGGAGTAGAGTACCGGTAGGTCGGTTCAGATATGAAGCAAAGTCATCCTGCAGCTTAACCCACCTGCGTTTTGTGTGAAATATCTGATTAGTTTTTTTTTGTTAGACTAGTGTTCTTGGCTTACCTTCACAGGCACTCACGCCACTACTATGGGGCCCGGTTTATGGGGCCAATGATCTCGGGCTTATTTGAACATTTGTGTGAGCCAGTTGATCCCAGATTATGGAAAAAAAAAAGCAATTCTTCCCACGTTTTAGGGATGTGCGTCTAGTGCGATTGCAAACATCAGAAGGGGAAAGTTTCCTATTATGGATGTATAGGCCGTCTATGTGGTCTTTGACCGTGCGATTACCATGGATCAGTGGCCTTATCAACGAATCAGAGGCCGTTTCACTGGTGACAGAGTTCATGCCATGTGGAGACTATGCCCAATTTGGACACGCGTATATATTTTTGCTTCAAATCCTGGCAACTCTCTCGTATATCATGATGCAAAACGAGACTACTGGTCATCACATAGTCTCGGGTTTCTAATAATCACCAGACAAGTATGGGGCCAGCGTTTCTGGGATTTGACGACCAGGCTGACGGGACCAATATCAATATCTCTTCAAGAATTATATAGTTTATTCTTCTAGCACGGTGGCTGAATGGTGATCTTCAAATCGGGTGGAGAGGATCTCGTGTTTCTCTTAGCTTTCTACTCTCTACATATTTTTCTTTTTTGTGCGGAATAGTTCAGTCTTTTTTCCCTCTTTTATACATATGTATTAAGAAGCGGGCCATTCCCCCACACCATGATCCCGGGAGACTTCGTCTCGAACATTGACGAAGTGGCGTCCATATCTACTATAATTCAATAGAGGAACTTTGCGATCTCTCCTTCAGCGCATTGAATACCTTCCTGTTCAGAATCAATCTGTGCACGACATTTGGCTTTCACTCATTTATATACGCCTTCATGACACGATGACAACATTATCAACATCCCGTGGTCACCAGGCCCTCGCCGTTAGCATTGTGTTTACGACTATAGCGACATTCATTACTGCCGTCCGTATATTTACGCGAGCATTTCTCGTGAAGCAGATGGGGGCAGACGACTATGTCGTCCTAGTCTCTTTAGGCTTCTCATGGATTTTCTTCGGCCTGATGGTAGGCGAAGTCTATCATGGCATGGGAGAGCACTACATTGATATTCCCGCCTCGATTTTCAAGGCTCAGATGATCGTACGCCCCACCTCAGCAGAATACTTCCCTTGCGCAGTGCAGTCTTATTGACATAGTTACCTTCCAGTACTTTTGGGCCTCAATTCCTATATACCAAACAAGCCTCATCAGCACAAAGATGTCGATCCTTCTTCAATACAAACGAGTCTTCTCCACACCACGCATGCGCCTAGCATGTTGGATCATGATCGGTGTTCTAGGTGTCTACGGAACCTGGACCATCATTAGCGCCTGGGCTAACTGTGTTCCTCTCGCCAAGTTCGGGGATCCAAGTGTCCCAGGTTTCTGTTTTGATAAGAAAGCTTTGTGGTTTTCCAACTCGGCTATCCACATTATTACAGATATTGTCATTCTCATATACCCAATGCCAGTCCTGAAATCGCTTCAACTGCCTAAGAGGCAAAAGTTTGCTCTCATGGCTGTTTTCGCGCTAGGTGGATTGTAAGTCCAGCATATGACGCGATTCCTCTACAATGCTAACAGTGATTCTCCCAGTGTCCTGATTACGAGTATACTCCGCCTCAAATCCCTCCTTGTTATCTCAAACTCAGACGACCCAACTTGTAAGTACTAACAACACCTGCCAATGACCTTTTCAGGCCCACGAGCGAAATTAACAAAATACTCCAGATGATAACGTTGGTGCAGCAACATGGTCTGCCGTGGAGTGCAACGTAGCAATTATCTGCGCCTGTCTCCCGGGCACACGCGCCTTCCTCTCCAAGTTCCTACCGCACATTTTCTCCACCCGAAGCAACGGCTACCGCAGCAAGACCGCACGACCTTCACGAAACGGCCGCAGCGCCATAACAGGAGACGGCAACACGCAGGTCCTAGCTTCTGTCGTTGGTGGGCGTGATCATAGCCTAGGATACGATCATGATCTAGAAGATCTTTCGCTATCTGGCTCCTTTAATAGCTATACTAAGGAGCCTGTGAAGGAGGTCTTTGTGGGTATTAAGGTTACGACTAATGTCACGCAAGAGAGAACCTCGCATTCAAAGATTGCTGTCAATGATGATATGGGTAGTACGAAGGAGTTGGTGAAGAAGCATAGCTTTTGATCTATAATGATTTGGGTTGGCCTAATGAGTTCATTCTTTAAATATATTTATTGCTTCCTACTTTTGGTTTGGTAGTACTCTCTTTTATCTCATACATCGGAGGTCATATATATCTGTTGCACAAAGTATGCCTTTTCCGCTTCTTTCTGTCGCTTACCTATACGCTATAAGACTGGAAAGGGGAACACTATCTTGAAGATGTCAAAGAAGAATAACCAAGAGGCCCGCTGAAAGGACCGCTAAGGCTTGGTCAAATCGAGACATCAAACATATATCCGGTTCTGTCCAGTCGCTGGCCTTTGTTATCCTACTCTTCTTCAGCACTGACAGTATAGTCCTAGTTCCCAATACATGCAGTATTGAAAAGATTATGAAAGGAAATTTGCAACACAAATTGCTAAATTCCAAACGTACTGCTACTCTCCTATTCAAACAATCTGACCGAATACTGCATTAAGACCCCCATGTCTACTTGTTCCCTGCTCTGACAAGCTCACCAAATCTAGTTCCAGTCTCTTGCGCTAACACGGCCGGCTTGCCCACCTCCACAATATCGCCAGTATCCATAACCACCACCCTGTCAAAGTCCATAATCATGTCCAGTCGGTGGCTGACCGCAATGACCGTGTAGTTTGTAAACTCGGTTCTAATAATCTCCTGCATGATGCGTTCCGTCTTTTGGTCCACGCTTGAACTTACTTCGTCTAGAAGCAGGATGCCACCTAGTTTCCCAGCGGCCCCAAACTTGCGCTCTCGAACTGAGTGTCTGAGCAGGGCTCGGCCAAATGAGAGCAGCTGCCGCTGTCCAGCGCTGAAACTCGAAGCATTCATTCCTCCGGCTAGGCCACCTCTTTCCTCAACAATGTCCCATAAGCCGACGGACTCGAGCACAGTTCTACACTCATTTAGGGTGGCCTCCTCGGCAATATCAAGATTCTTCTGGACTGTAGATCCGTCGGGTAAGAAGACGGCCTCTTGGGGCACTGCGATGATGCGCTGACGCAGCACGGATCGATTTAGTCGATGGAGCGGTAAATCGTCAATCACAATGTTTTCCGCCGTGGCGGATATCGGATCGAGGAGCTTGAGAATTAAAGCGACAAGACTAGATTTGCCGCTACCTGTGCGACCACAAATAGCAACCTTTTCTCCAGAGTTGATGGTCAGGTGGATATCGCGGAGAGCTAGGCTTTTGGCCACATCATCACCATTGTCAGCGCTAATAACATAGTTAGCATTGTTTTAGTATGGGGTCTATGATCCTTACTCATATTTTGCCGAAACACCCTTCAGTTCCACCACCCCACGCTGAGGCCACGGTTCGGGTGCGTCGATGTCCTCTTCATCTCTGTCTTCGGGTATTACGGTCTCGTTAAATGTCTTTAGTCTGGCAATTGCGCCAAGTGAGGTTTCAAGATTGGTCCAAAACAGAACAATGCCAGCAAGGTTCTCTCCAAAACTCAGAAGACTGTACAGAGCGGCACCGGCGAAAGCAGAGTTAGAATGAAAGCGCACGGCGAACGTTGTTAGCGCTACTGCTAACAGCATGACTACCACATCCAGAACGACATTCAGCCATTCCTGGATCATAAGAAGGAGATACGAAGGCCGCTGGCTCGAAGTGAGAAGACGAGCATTCTTTTTGATATCTTCATGAATGAAGCCTGTGTAGAATTTGTGAGCAACAAATCATCTAATTAATGCGCAGCAGGTGTAATGATTGGTACTTACCGAATGCCCGCAATGTTGTGATGCCTTTGACAATATCAAGAAAGTGTGTGCTAAGCGTGTGTCAGCAACGATAGTGAATATACTTGACGGTACGCTCCCATTCACTTACTATAGCGGGCTCTTGGCTTCCAGGTCGAGCAATCGAAGCTGCCTCGAAGTGCGCAGGTAAAACTTTTGTAGAACGTAAAGCAGGGCGGCGAGAAATGGGAAGGCGATAGCCAAATAGGGAGACGACGCGAGCATAACAGCCATTTGCCCAACAACTTGTGTGATCTATCCATGCATGTTAGCTGCTAGACTCAGGTCTTGATTCGTCACGCGTTGGATTATCGAGAACAGGGTATTGACGGTGGCATCTGGCAGCTCCGTGTCAATGAGATTCAAATCTTGTGAAAATAGATTAGTCGTGACACCTATGTCGGTTTCAGTGAAAAAGCGAAGTGGTGCACGAAACAGCGTCTTTAAGATGTCTTCATGCAGGTTGGCGCCAGCACGTTTGATGGATACTATCCAAATGGAGGCACCAAGTAAGAACAGCGAGATCAAAGCACAGATCTGAAAGAGCGCGTAGATTCCGGCCCAGTAACTCGAAGAGTGGGCTGGACTTTGCGATTTTATGTCCCCAACCCAGTACGTAAGCCCTGCAGTAGACCGTCAGCCTCTGAGAGCTGCTTTGGAACCAACCCCATATCAAAGGATTTGGAATACTTACAGATAGTCGAAAAGTTCAAGAAGAAGCCCCAGAGCACAGCAAAGAAAACGGCAGATCCTGCGAGCAGCCACCCCATACTTCTGATATAATGCTTATACACGGTGCCATCTCCAACTTGCCGCGATGCGTCAATATTAGGGTCAACAGTAAGCTTGGCCGCTTTTTCATTTTTCACCGGCGACGAAGATTCCTCTGCGCTCTTTTCGATACTTAATTCCTCCGAGGACGTCTCGCTTTCGGATCTCTTCAGGCCCAGACGGTGAACATAGCCACCACCAGCTATCAGTGTGTTGAATGTGCCTTGCTCACTAATGCCACCGTCCCCAAGGGCTATAATGTAGTCTGCCGCCTGTAGATGTCGAACGCTGTGCGTACAGAGTAAGACAGTGGTTTGGCGGCGTCTCAACAATCCTTCTGGTCCAAAGACTTGACGGAAGACTTGCTCTTCGGTGTCCGCATCTAAGCCACTGAAGACGTCGTCGAGAATAAGGAAGTGGGCTTGTAAGTATAGGGCCCGTGCTAGGGAAATGCGCTGCTTCTGGCCTCCGGATAGGGAGATACCGTCGGATCCCACGTTTGTTTCATCGCCTTGTGGTAGGGTGTTGAAGTCAAATTTGAGAGCTGTTGCCTCAGCCACCTGTGCATATCTATCCTCATCCACAGGAGAGAAGCCTATTATGTTCTCCTTGATGGTTCCATTCATTATAAACGCAGCCTGGTCGCAGAATCCGACCACGGCCCTTGCACCTAGTGTGACTCTACCTTGGTGAAAGGGAATCTCTCCAAGTAGTGCCTTGCAAAGTGTAGACTTGCCCGATCCAATTGGTCCGACAACAAGGGTAAGAGATGACTTTGGTATTTTGGTGTTGATGTCTTGTAGGATGAACTTGTCTTGTTCCCAGCCGAAGCTCCCCTTCTCAATAACCACTTCGGACTCGTATGAAGGCTCACGGTTGAGCGAGCTCTTTTCAAAGCCTTTTTCAGAGGAGGCTACGACTTGACGAAAGTCTTCGCGAGTCTCGCACTCCAGAAATGCCTGAATTCGGCCAATACAAGCCAGGCCAGAGATAACTTCGGGAATACTCTGGAAAATCTGCGATAGAGGCTGCGTCATGAGGGTCAAGAAAGAGAGACTTGTGAATATCTTCGATGAGTCTAGTTGGTGTTGGTTCTGGGCAAAGGCAAATGTCACGGCCGGGCTAATGAGCAGCGGAATGAACCCAAAGACCGCCGCCCCAATATAGATCTTGCGGTAATGAACTCCCGCTATAAGCTCCTCGACGCGCAGCTTCTGCACGAACGTGCTCACGGACGAGGAAAGACCGGATATCTTGAGGTTCTTCATGCTGGAAATGATAGCAGCCGTCAGGCCAACGCGCTTCTGGACTAGTGACATCCATCTTCTCTGTGCCGTACCGATAAAATTCATCAGAATGACTAGGCCCAAGAAGCAGAGAACCACGACGACGATAGGAACGACGAAGACAACGCCAAGGCGGCCATTCAACATCCACGCACATAGCACTACCTGGATCAGACTTGCCCAGATATCATGTAGTTGTCGGAAGCCTATTCTAATTCTCTCAAGATCGGTACTCATGAGAGTTAGCGCTGCGCTGTCGTCGGCTCCGATGCGAGCTCTTGTGGCCGTGATAAAGGTCTCAGTAACGAGGATAGACCTTAGCATAGTGCGCATGCGATGATGATAATATCTTGTATATATGTTAGCGGTGCCTAAATAATCCACTCACTAAGCGCCTACCGGTAGAAGGCCCAGCTGATAGCAATTCCGGTATAGATCAAAAAGCTGGCGCCAATTAATCCATAGCCAAAGTTTGGGTTGAGCTCATCCTTTGAAAGGTAGTCTAGAAGCCCCTCAATGAACAGCGGCTGAGCGATAGAAAAGCCGAAGAGGGCCAAGCGGGGGATGACAGGGAGGAGAAGTGGTCCTATAAGTGTACGAATGAGGGCCTTGGTCAGACCGAATTTGTCGCCCTTCATCTTGTCCATGTCTAGATGTTGAGAGAATTTCTCGTGGAGGCTTGTTGGGTCCATGGCACCGTCCAGGGGGTACAAATCATTGACGGAAAGGACTTTGCTGTATCCGGACAGGAACAAGCGGTTGAGCCAAAAGAAGACACCAATGGATATTATGCCACTGGTTTCCTCTGGGCTATGCTCATCTTTGTTCCAACCAGCCTGAATCCACCTGGACTTATGCTGGGATTCCAGCAGTAGCACGACAGCTTTAACAGCCAAAGCAGCAGTAAATAGATTGCTGTAGGCGCGCTCCGTAGCCAGAGTGGAGGACAGGTAGAGAGTTCTCGACTGGGCTCCGTCTAGTAGAAGCGTTAAGAGCAGGTATCCCATCAATAGCATAGACGGTCGAGGTGATCGAGTGTGCTCAACATCACTCAGAGGAAGCATGATAAAAGCCGCTAGCAGCTTGAGGGCTGAGGTCGCTATGAACATGGCTGTGGCGTCGAAGTGACCTGCAGCGGCCAGGATGACGAGCGCAATTTGCAGCACAGCGTACACTGTAATGGCACTCTGGAACGATATCAGCAAGCTGCTGTACTTAGGGGGTGGGGTAATTTAGAATAATACACACCATTTTCCCTAGCCGAAAGGCAGAAGCGTTGACCATGGTGGGCTTTCGAGCAAGAGAAACAATTCTCCATGCTGCGAGCACTATGAAGAGGGCAGACGGGATGATGGAGAAGAAGACCTGCTCAAAGTCCACGTTGAAGTCAAATTGCTCGCCGTTCTGTTCAAAAAGCGAACCATTTTGGGAATTGAAAGGCATTTCGTACTAAGTAACAAGCTATCAGGCACCTGGAATGACTTGGATTATCAGATGCTCTAGCGAAGGACAAAAGCGAGTCAAGGCATCGTGAATGGACCCATAGGGCATGAAGACAAGAAAGTAGGAGAATCCTTCAGCACAAATCGCTGGGAAATCTCAAGATATTAAGGCGCGAGAGGCCTAATATAGAGGCTTGATGAGAAATCAATGGCGCTAGAGGCAGGGATCGGGGTTCGGAGTTGGACCGTAAGCACACATTATGCGCAGTCATACACATGGGCTTCTATTTGTTTCCCTCTGAAAAGAATTAAATTGAGAGAAAAAAGAAATTAAGAAAACACAGTAAATTCTGATGTGTAAATTCATCAAAGGCATCAATCCGGCCATTTTGAACGTATGAGCACCGGTAAGGACGTTCGACAAATGAGACCCCATTGAATCCCTCTGCTATGCTATAGAGCAATACCATGACATAGTACATTGGGTCAGCGGAAGCATCGGGGGGCAATTTTTGAAGATAAAAGCGGCACATAGTAACCGTATATATATATATCCCTACTTGGACAAAACACTACACAAAAAGGAAAATAAAGAAAGATCTTGAAATACTAATCAGTTCACTCCATAGACCCACTGAAGAGACTGTCTCGACGGGATGTCCCCGCTAGTGGCAGGATTTAGCAGACCAGGACTTCGACGTCAACGTGACCATCTACCACAATCTCGGCAGCGGTGGCGCTGGCGCTGAGGCTGGCTCCGATCTGGATAACTCATGAGCAAATCTGACGTTTGTCAAGCTCCTGATTCCGTCAGGACGCCCATCATTGAAATTGTCAGGAAGCTCTTCAGTCTCTTCTTAGTAGTAGATGATGTGGATGTTGACATCGCCAAGAAACCGGCCGATGTGAGGCTCAACTTGCTCTTTTTTGTGGAGCTGCGAGCTTGGTTAAAGGTCAGCTTGGCATTGAAATGTCGACACTCGGGATGTTGAGCTTAGGAGCCCCTGGTGCTCTTGGAAGGCGTGCTAGTAGGTAACTTGATGATGGTGATGATTCCCTATGGTATAGGGTAGAAGATGACGGGGCCAGTGGCCATTTTTGAACGCCAGTGCGCCATAACAGATTTTCCCATAGCTGATCACTCGGTTTAAACTATAAATTTGCTATACGGGTTGAAGAAAGAGTTATAATACGAACAACCTGAACGTAAAAGTATATAGAATAGAACTTAGAACAGAGAATACTTGGATTCAAGTGGTTAAGCATTGACCCATCTAGCGTAAAGGATACAATAACTCAGGGCTCAATTATCAGGCATTAAACTTATGTTTTGAGCTTTTACGGACAAGAATACTTGGTTGCCTCTATTACGGTCCTACGTTGTATGTCATCTTGTTAGCGGTCTTCTCAGTGGTTTTTTTTAGTAGATACTTCCTTTCCCTTTTCCGTTTTCTAGTTTGATAGTAGAGAGAAAAAGAAGGAAAGAGCCTAAACTGCGCAGACGACTCTCCTTGTATAACATATGATGGAGAATTAGCGCGACATTAGCATCTTCAGATGTATGACATTCTGATATTGCAAAACATACTGCAACATACTGCCGAAATCTACTATAGCGCACTGGCGGTTTGAAAGTTATCCAACCAACAGAAAAAGACATGCCAATAACAATTTGATTTCGTCTCTACTAAATGAAGACTAGGAGGCCATCATAGAAGCAAACACCAATAGTATTTCTATCGCCTCGACCAAGACACACTTGCTAATTCTTTCCTAGACCCCCGAGGCCTTAACGCAGATCAATCAAGGCGCATACTTCAAATGCCCGTATGCTACAGCATATTAGGCCACTAAAGCAAGGTGGAAAATAACTTCAAGTAAAATGCATAGGTCTAGTTATTACAACAATTACTAACATGGGCTACCGACAAATCCTTTCGAACACGAGATCTAGGGTATTATGAATGCATTGTAACAAGTGTACAGATGTCGAAGCGAACAAAACGAGCTGATCATTCAGTATGCATGAGACCCGCCCATTGTACATTCGAAAGCCGCCCGTATTTCAAGACCAAAGGCTCGTGACAAGGATGCAAAAAAAGAGAAAAGAGAAAATAGTTCTAGGGAATAATCTTGAAAACGACGGGCACCCATATGTGCAATGTGCAATGCGAAATTATGCTTGCAAATAGGCAGATGTCATCATGCAAATCCTAGAAACCTCAAGATGCTCGTGAACTCTGGATCTTTTGCAACGAGGATATAATTTACTCCCAAACATTGGAGAAGAGGTCATCAGATCCGCCAAATCCACCAGACGTCTTGTTGTTATTCGTGCTTGTGGAGGTAGGGTTGGAGACTGGGGCGGCGCTGGCCCAGCCGCCGAAGTCCTCGTCCGCTGCCACAGTGGGCGCGGGCTTGGAAGCAGCACTGGGCGCGCCCCAGCCGTGGCCCACGTCGTTCGGGGTCAAAGTGTCAGGGACCTTCATCATAGATGCAGGCGAGCGTACTGAAGCAGCAGGCGCTGGGGCAGGATCTGGTGTGCTCCATGCGTTACCGCCCCATGGATCAATGCTTCCAGACATCATGCTGGCTGCTGCTGTGTTCGCGGCGCTGGCCGATGGGGCTCTAGGGGGTGCGGGGGGCTGCATCGGGGGAGCAGAAATATTGAACGCAGACTTCATTTCCTGCTGAGGAGAGGTTGCAGTAGACTTTGGGGGTGAAACCGGGGAGGCAGATGCAGGAGGAGGCGAAGAAAATCCAAACAGATCATTCGACAGGGAGGATGATGGAGGGTTAGGCTTGACAGTCGGGGAGGTAAACCCGCCGAATCCGAAATCTTGCCCATGGGAAGAGACGGAAGTCGTTCGGGACTGGGGCTTCGAGGCTGACACGGTCGGAGAAGTTAAGCTATCAAAGAAATCTCCGCCCGCAGATCCCGAGGGCGATGTGACCTTCGGGGCAGCAGGGGTCGACTTGGCGCCGCCGAAAGATGAAAGATTAGAGAATGCCGATGGCTTCTCGGCGGCTTTGGCGGATGGGGGAGAAGTAGTAGTCGGGAAGCTCAGTCCACTAAATGCGTCCGTTAGACCGCCCATGTGAGACGAAGGGGAGGGGGCAGGAGGCGAGGACATGGCGCCGAATGAGTTGCCCCGCTGGTGCTGTACGGGTTGTGCTGGCTGCGGCTTCGAGTACAATGACAAGATTGACTGTTTGAGGTCTGGCCGAGACATTCCGGCTGGTGGTGCTGGTGTGGATGCTGTGCTAGACGGGTGACTACCAGTGGAAGGCTGGGTGCTACCAAAGAAGTCGAGACCCAGCAATGAATCATTAGGCTTGTGGGTCTTGGCTGGTGCAGGCTGTGCTTGTCTGGGTGGCGCACGCGGAGTAGGTCCAGTTGTGCTAGGGCGAGGCGGAGGAGAGATATCGTCGCCGAATAAATCAATCGAGGCTTGTTGACGGTGTGCCGGGGGCTGGCTGGGAGCAGGGACTCGTTGCGAACCAGAACGTTCAATCTTTGCTTTCTCCTGTACGACCGCAAGAGGCTGGTCGGTTAGTGATTGCTGCTAACTGGCTGGTCTATCGTGCGATCACTCACCAGATCGTCATCGCCGTCATCCAGGGTGGAAGGGTCCGGCATCTCACCGTCCATTACCCATCGCTTGCTCTCGTATTTCGTCCGAATGAAATTCTCGATTTTCCTGTTCACCTCAGTTGTCAGAAACGCTGTCATCACCGATCGACCGTTCAAATGCACTTACGCATCAGAGGGAACGTGGCCGGGTGCTAGTTTGGCTTCCCAGTATCTGTATTCTATTAACCCATGCCCAGTAGACAGTCAATTGGTTGCGACGAACTTATTGGCTCTTCCATTGCCCCATCTCACAACGCTCTGAAGTTGTTCATCGGTCCACGCATCGAGATCTACGGACTTGACTCGGCTGATATGCGTGCCCATACCCCTGTGGATGCCCGAGCACCGGATGCACACAAAGACTCCCAGGTTCCAGGAAGCCCATCGCGGATCTATTCGGAAGACAATTCAGTATATGAGCGCCAAGAAAAATCCTCAGAGATGAAGCCAGCGTGGGCGCAACTCAAGGAGGGGATCGGGGATCACCGACGCTTGTTCCGTTTACAGTCGGCACATATCTTGTTGTGCTCGAGTTTCAGCAGAGCCTTGATAGTCTGCGAGTTTTGGGCCGCTTGGCCTGGAGTAGGACGTCGAGACATAATAGCGCCTCAAGAATTGATGGGTGAAATGGATAGGGAACAATGAGAGCAACCTAATTATTCTTAGGTGGCGGTCGGCACAGTTGCGGCCTAAGGCTGCGGGTGTGGATACGGATGGGGGAAAATGCCAGTCACGCAGTTTGATATAAAGTAACATGGGTCATTAGCCAATAGTAGTAAATACATGTTTAGAAGAAAAAACACATCAGCTATATTGTACTATTTACTTGAATATCCACTTGAATAATCTCTTTAGAGCTGAGATCTATAACACCTGGTTGGTCCACTCACGCCTCTCCGTATCATGCATGTCGGCCTTTCTGCAGCCTTAGTTCCCGCACGATGATCGAACCTCATGAAATCGCATCAAGCTTTGGACTGAGGATTCTTCAAAGCGCTAGTATCTTCTGTAAAGCGCAGACTGACGCTGTTGACACAATGACGCTCATCCGTGGGGGTCTGATAACCCTCACCCTCAAATACATGGCCGAGGTGACCCCCGCAGTTAGTGCACACGATCTCGGTCCGCTTCATACCAAATGTGCTATCAACATGTCTAGTTACAGCACCAGGGATAGAGTCAAAGTATGCTGGCCAGCCACAGCCAGATTTGAACTTGTGGTCGGCAGTGTAAAGCGGCGCATCGCAACCAGCGCAATTATAGACGCCCTTCGACGGGTAGTGGGAATCATATTCACCGGTGCCAGGGCGCTCAGTACCCTTTTCACGGAGGATACGGAACTGTTCTATAGCCATTTGTGTGAGCACAGATCAAGCAGGTATCGCCTCCGACTTCAAGCCCCTTCGCGGTGTACGAACCTGGATTCAAAACAGCTCTCCACTGGTCTTCACTTCTCTGGTCGGGGGGCGACATAGAGTCGGTTGATTTCTCAGAGTTGTGATTGGAACTGAAGAAGGCACCAAAAAACGGAATGGTTGGTGCAGCTCTAAGCACCTTGTTGCTTGTCTTCGAATGCGGAGGCTTGCGCGTCGAGGACAAGAATCGGGAGGAGCAAAATGTCGGTGCAAGTCGGATAGGGATAGTCTGGTGTCTCAAGGGCGAAATAAGATTACGGGATAATTGGGGTCGCATAGAGAAGACTAATGAACCGTAGAGGCAACGTTTATAGCAAGGTGAAAAAAGAATAAGCAGTGACTGGCAACTGAAGCACCTGCAATGAGAGTGGAGTGAGGCTAATCCCATATCGGCGCCTGATGTTGGGGCCTTTACGTCATCATGCGGGGAGACTGTCGGGGACTCTTTCAGGCCTAGACATTGCTCCCAAGATATATAGCATGAAATAGATTTATGTATATCCCCAGATCTACATTATTCCAAAGTCGGTTGTTTAATTTTGTTCATAAATGCTTTTCATTCAAAATGGCACCAGGTCCCACCTGGGAAAACTCCAGCAGTGCAGGGGTATCTCAACATCAAATCAGACATAAAGAAGATTGAAAAAAAAAAAAAAAAAAAGAAAAGGACAAGCCAAAGAAACTTCAACGGCGGTTCACTCCGGTCACCAGCATGGAGCCCCGGTTGAGCTCCACACGCCAACCCTCTTTCTGCAGCATGTTCCACACGGCAGGTCCAATGTGTGATTTGCGGTCGAGAGAGTGGTTACCAACACCACACACAATATTGAACCCACCGTGGGAGCTCTGACCTCCCCCACGAACATACTTCTGATCTCCCAGTCCATCCCACCATGCCTGCACCTTATCGCGAGCGATTCTGACCGCATTGGCGACTGTCACGCCATGCAGATCCAGGTCAGAATGCGACGACTGGCGAGCCACCAGCCGGTCGGAAGCTGTCGCCAAATGGCGCATGGCGAGCTGACGTTGCTCGTTTCCGACATCCCGGTAATAGGCAGAAGCGCCTCCATAGAGGGGGTTGGAGCGGGCGCGGCGGGCGGACTGGGATGCTTGGGCGAGGGCAGCTGATCGGGCTGCGAAGTGAGAGTTGGCGGCAGCGGCAGCGGCGTTGAAGTCCATGAAATCCGAAGCAGTATCTATCTGCTGAGCGGGAGCCACATTCTCTTCCTCGTCGTCAAGGGTGACCGGAGACGAGACAAAACTGATGATATTTGAAACAGACGTAAGATCAGGCCGACGAGACAAGGTGTCGGCCAGGTCATCTACGGCTGAAATCTGATTATTTGAGAGTCGAATCAAGCCAATTAGAGTTGTGGGTTGGACGCCGGGGTACTTGTGACTGAGCTCCCCAACTTGTGTGACGAGTACAGGGTCATCCTCAATCTCATGGATGTCCTTGGGTGCATGGGCCTGTGCCAAGGCTCTGATTGTTGCACAGAGTGACATTGAGTTTTCATGATAAGTCGATGCAATTTTCTCCCTCTGCAGAGCACACGCCCGCGAGGACAGGAAGTCGATGTCCTTCTTTCCTGCCTCCCATTTATTAGTGGCGGTGTTGTTCATGGCCTGAGAAGCCAACTCGACTCGACGTTGTTTCTGTTGCTTATTCTTCTTTCGGGATTTCTTGCCGCCGCTGTTCAAATCGTCCTTCGCCTGGAAGCCATCAATTGACTTGGGAACGGATGATTGGCTGTCCTGAGCGGTCTCTTTGGGAGTTTCCTGAGGAACTGCTTTGGCAATTTGTGTCTCTTCGATAAAAGCAAGATTGAGCAAGACATCCATGGAACGACTAAGGTTGTCGTGACAGTCTTCAAGAATGCGTTCAGCTTCTAGGCGGGTGATACTCGGGAACATGCTGATCAAATTTTGTGCCTTGTCAGCAGTCGTCATACCCAAGAATGTGTATGCAAGCTTAGAGCCTCTGAGCCTCTGAGCCTCATGACTGACGTTGTCGGGGTTGTTGCCATCTTGTTCCGGATCGTCAAGCGATGGCCAGCTTGTAAAATCTGAGGGAGCATCGTTGGATGATTCATCGATCAAAGATCCTGAGACATCAGAGTTTCGGAGATTGGTTGTGCCTGTGGGATCAAATGGCAAGTCCTCTTGCTCGACAGCAGACGCGTTCAGCACGTCTAGGGTTTCATGCAACTGTTCAACTTGAGCGGGGATCGCCAAGTCAAAGTCTGAGACGATCGCAACAAACAATGCAGGATCAATTGGCGGACAGTAGGTGCTTTCAAGCTCCTAAATAGGGATCCAACGTTAGACCAGAGCCTGATAAGCAAGCAATGCAGCAACAAGCTCTGCTTCAACTGTGCGTGAACCAGTGGGACGCGACATACCTTAAAGAGCTCACCGTCGTGGTCCCCCATGGCTGTAGTGGTGGATTTGGTTACAGTGATGTGTAAAGTACTTGTCTCATTCCCTGTGGAGAACTGTGAGGTTGGACAATTGCAAGTGACGTTGGCAGGAGTGACGAAGGTGAAAAGTGGCTTTTTTGGTGATGATCTTGATACATCCGATAAGATAGGTAGAGATACCGAGATCAATGTGGGTCATCATGATTGGGAAACCAATCACAGATCCATGTGGCAGTCACGTGCTATGGTCACGTGGATGGGGTAGCCCAGGTAGGAAGTCGCATGCACGCGCAGATCACGTGCCGTGGTAATGGGAACGCTTAAAACGAAGTGACTAAACCTCAAACATAAAGCCAACCGGATATTAAGAGACAAAGGTGTTGTCCCTTTATGCTTTAAAGACTTCCAACAAGAACCTTTCTACTTGAATGTGCTTCAACTATGCAAGAACCCTTGAATCCATACTTACACCTACATAGATCCCTCTATCTGCCGCATGTCAGCAACCGTAGTGTCTATGAAGCCAAGGCTTTTAATTATGCACGAAGGAGTTAGTCTATATGCAGAGGCCACCCTTTATTGACTTCCTAGATTGCCTTAGATGGTGCAGTGCTTGTTCGTTTCTATAACTATAGGTTCCGCTGGTTCTGTTTCCTCTCCCACATATACATTGGGACCCTAGGTACGTAGGTAACCCATTTCAACATCAGCTATCACCACAGTGTACAATTAGCTCTAGTTGTACTCGGATTATCATTACTTCATACAATATGTTAGGGTCTTCAAAGTTTGAATCATGAAACAGCAGGTGACATAACGTGAAATCACATTATTCCAAATGAGATGACTTGATTCCAGCTTGCCGTTCAAAAACCATTAGCCGAATCCTCCCATACAACAGGTTTATATTTCTTCATCGAAAAGCGATGAGGAGTAAGTAGATAAGTAGAAACCCCACTCCAATCCAGTAACTCAAATGTATCAGGACTAATATGTATGTCCGATGTAAAATTCATTCTTGCAAAAACCTTCTTATATTTGACTTACGCATAACGCCCTACTATAAAGAGAAAGAGGTAAGGTCAGATATTAATGTGTAAAATTTGCCTTTTAAGGTCCAGGAGCTTCACCAATGTCGCATAGCGAACATCGGGAACTGACCCCGAGTCCAATTTACTTCGGTGCGTCCATCCGACTTTTGAGTGCCTACTAACGTGAAGATATCTTTGAACAATCAGGCCCCTCTAAATATATGGTTCAACCAAATTTCTATCTTTTATCTAAAGCATCAAAGGAAAATTTCATCATGTTTTTATACCATTGTCTCCGAACAAAGGGAACTGCAGTTTCAGCCTGTTTTTCCCAACCTTTGCGAAACTTTTCAAGCACCAGGGCAAAATTCATGGCAGCACGAAAAGAATTTCTCTGCATCCTCCCCGACAATGCAAATGTCCTTGCTATCAGAAGAAAAGTTAAAAGGTCTGTATATACCAGAATTTCTAGACAGCTAGCTTGTGCCGAACACAGCTAAAATTGATTAGAGTGCATTACGATGGAATCAAGCCATTAATAGCTGCCGGAAAGCTGGTGGATGGAGGTGCTATCTTTGAGGAACATCCCGAAGAGGGAAAAGATGCCTTGTTTAAGGGTAGCGTTATTGTGTACTCGGCTAAGAATGCCGAAGAGGTCCGCGCCATTCTCGAGAAAGACATCTACGCCACGAGTGGTGTGTGGGATTTGAGTAAAGCACAAATCTTACCTGTGAGTCGAGTCTTTCATCCCCATCAGTCATCGTTAATAAATGTAGTATGTCGCAGCTGTTCGGCAGCCGCTTCTATGAGGAATATAGATTTCCGACATCTATGAGAAGCAGCATATGTGAGAGTTTACGTGAGGTTCAGAGACTGAATTATACAATACAATGAGTAGAGTAATCCCCAGTCGATCTCTGGCTGTATGTTGTCCATATAAAAGGGTATTTTGTAGCATTGAGGTTGTTCACTCTAATAAATTATCACTGAGGTCTCGGCAGTGGGGCCAGAAGAGAGTCTCTACATAGTGAACCGCAAAGCCGAGAAATGGGCCCGGACCCCTGGCCCAGAGCCCAACCAGCAGTGGGCCATAAGCTTAACCTTCAAAGCCCATTCGTGGGGGCCTATATAGGCCCCTATTATAGCCCACTTAGGGGGATCAACTAACATCTTGTAATTGCTGGATTCGAACCTCCTACTTATTGTATGGTCTCTCGGCTTTTAGCATTCATGATACTAGCAGCTATATTAATTAGTGTACGTCTCAATCCTAGATAAATTCCGACCGATATATGTTGAGATATCGCGGAAATATTGGGATAAATATGGACATATATTTTAGATCTACGACGGAGTACTCGGCCCGACGCTTACTGCCCAACCCCAATTATTGAAGTCCTACGTCAAGTACAGAGGCTGCACCAGGCACCAACTATTCTTGGGAATGTAAATCCAAGTGTCAAAGTAATCTTGATGGTATACCTAGGTATGAACTAACATTATGTTGGGAACTTTCAGAGTTCAACAAGATGAGTAATTGACAAACACACAATGAGTCCGTAATTCATTCATGTGGGGATGTTAAGCGTTTGAAAAAAAAATAATGAAAAACACACAAAGTATAGGATTGTGGTGTGTTAAGGAGGGAGAGAATAGAAAAAGGAAAACCCCAGACGCTATGCGAAGAGATAAATCAAAGCTTGTGCCCAAACACCACAACCGGCCCGCGTGTTGGCCGAACATACCGCACCCTCTGCTGCCAGGTGATCATGATATCGAGCCAGGAAAAGAGAGGCAAGTATCAAAGAGGGCACCCCCCCTGTCAGAGCCTCAATTCACCTTCCCTGGTGTAAGATGCTAATGAGTGTGTAACACTATGATCCGCCTTGAGAGTTGGTACACGGGGAATTATGGAGAAACATGTGTGAAAGGATATGTGTAATGCATGAAAATGGGAGAACGCGGCTTGAGTGTACATGTTCTAGGAACATCCTGAACTGACAAAAAGCATGGGTATTTCCGTGCGCTGCTAAAAACGAGAAGGCAGAAGTGTGGGAAAGAAAGTAGAAAGGAATCGAGTGAGGATGCCAGCCCCAGATTCACCACATATCATCGTCATCGTCGTCGTCGAGTTGGACGTCGTCGCCAAAGGACGAGTGCCCGTACTGGTAGTGGCCGGGGCCGTAAGCTTGGCCATTATCATAGCTCTGCTTGTCGCTCCTTGAATGGCTACCGTAGCGATCATGCGGATCGTCATCATAGTCGTACATGGAAGAGTCGTCGTAGGCACTTTCCCCGTAATGTTGTTGCTGCTGTTGCTCCTGTGACTGTGAGAGGCTGTTAGTGATCTTCTACTTTGCTAGGACAGGAGCCATATTTGCTTACCTCTTGGTATCGCTGGTATTGCAGATACTCATCTGGCTGATCTCTTGATTTCGAAGATCTCTGGGACGAGCCAGATGAAGCAACTGGCATCTGCGGGTGCATCTGTTGCACCTTGGCCAGATATGAGTACATGAAATTGCTCAGTAATACCTGAGAGTACAAAGCTCGCCTTGGATTCGCAAGCTTGATATGTGCCATCCGGTAGATAGCTCGCTCCTCCAAGATGGAAAAGCGAGACCATGGATAATCGACGTCGGCGCGAAGTACCCGCATTGGGGGATCGGGAGAAAGGTTTCGCGACAAATGTTTTCGGTGGTGGCCTTCATTAGCGTGCTTCTTTCGTCCACCGCCAAAAATAGAAGAGAAAATCCCATCCTTTTCTTTCTTTGAATCTCCCGACGCTCTCCTCACGCCGTCTTTGCGACGTTCTTCATCAAGCTTCGGATCGAGACGATCCAGAACAAGACTTTCGCGTCCCCGCGGAGTGCTCTCAATAGATGACTGTAAAACATCTAGACGTGTGTTGTCATGGGCTTTGTCGACAATCTTTGACTTGGTCTTTTTCGAGTCGTTGTCCTTGTCCTTTTTCTTATCTTTTTCTTCGCTGCCCAGCAACCAGTGCCAACTAGACTTGCGGCTACCATCAGAATCCTTCTTGTCTTTTGATTTCTTGCTCTCGGATTTTCGTTCTTCGGGTTTGCGTTCCTCTGCAACAGTAGGGATGAATGAAAGACTGTCGGTACGGGTGGTGTTGCCAGGTATCATCTGAGGGTTATTGGCAAAGTCATTGAGTGAAGATGCGGGTTCGTGGGGAGGTTGGCGAGGAATTTTGGGACGTTTTGGTGCCGGGTCATGCAAAGGTGCGGGCTTTGACGACGGTGTAGATGCTGCGGCACGGTCCGATGGCCCCCTAGTTTGTGAAGGGGGACTTGGTATACGTTTGGATTCAGTGGCAGGCGGTGTTTCAATTATCGCAGGGATCTTCTGGTCGCCTGCGGCAATGTCCAAGGTAGATCGGCCATTCGAGCTAATACGCGAATGCCATTTCCGGGAATTGGCCCCGTCTCCTGGCTCAGATCGATCTAGAGCAGCATCCGGTTGTCCAACTGAGGCGGACAAGCCTTCCCCCTCGGGCTCGGGCTGGTCGACAATCGAATCGAATGTCGAGCTCACGGGTGAACTAGGGACATAAGCTGACCCATGAGATGAGGCAGAGGGGGCCCGAGCCGCACGTGTCGTTTTGGGAGTAGGATCAGTGGAGACACGGGTGAGCCCCGAATTTGAGGATTCTTGAGATGGTAGAACAACCGGAGGTCCTGTATCACTCCCTGCGGATTCAGATGCCCCCCGTCCAACTCGTTTAGAGTAGGGCAACTTTTCGCCCTTTTTCAAACTGCCCGCTTTCTTGTATTGTGTCCGGGTTGATCGGCGTAGACTGTTTCCCGGAGGTGCGGGGGGCAGGATTGGTCTGTCCTCAATTCCTGTGATATCGATATTCTGTATACCGCGCACGAGTGATTCTTTGTTCATCGGTTGAGTGTCATCCACCAAGCTTTCCAACTGTTGCAAGTTGGGACTCAACATGCCAGCTCGCTTACTTGATTGAGAGCGTTGATGTTCCAACCGATCCGCACCATCTGTATAACCGGAAGAATTGTCGATTTGTCTTGATAACATGGAGCGCTTCCGACCAAGACCACCTCCAGATCCTTGACGTTCCGAACCCAAAGTTGAATACTCGCCTGATCTGCGCTTGATATGGTCGGCCTTGCTATCGAGAAATGATTTGAATTCTTTCGGAGCCAGTTCGGGGTGCAGTCGCGCCGGAACCCAGAACAACCGGGAGGCGTCATCTTCGTCGGCCGAGGGCGAGGGGGGTGATGCGAAGCCTGGGAGGTCAGGGTCACCGGCGGCAGCCACATCCATCGACATGCGCCGAATCGCGGCAAGATTGTTCAGTTCCTGAACGACGGCTGCAGGGTTCGATTCATAGTCGATATCGTTCAGAGGAAAAGAGGACGTTGCAGTGTCTGAAGGCATACGAGCACCATCGGAATTCCCGGGATCACTTTCCCGATCAAAAGACCGGTTTCCAACAAGCGGCGGCCGCGGATTCCCATTTGTCCGTATTGTTTGCCTATCTGAGGAGGATGGGTGATGTGGTGAGGTTGGGGAAAGAGAGGACTCGGATCCTGCGGCGGCGCGCGGGATGGTGGTTATTGACTCGCCGAGAGGGGTTGTTATATAGCTCAGGCGCCTGAGATCATTACGCTCGTAGTCATCGTCATACATGTGTCCGATGGCTTCTGTCACATGGTGGCTTGGATCGCTGATTGATAGATGGGCGGCATGACCTCTCCGCGTCGCATGCCCGCCAGCCTCATGGGCACTCGTGGAAGCCTGAACGGATACAAAATAACATTAGAATCAAATCCGCGAGTTGCATGCCGAGATCTTATTCTCGGGGTCCTTATGAAGGGGTCCAATTCCACAAGAATATGGTTGTGCCTGAGGGGTTCGAGGTTGAGGGGGCCGGCAAAAAGTCACGCCCACTTGGACCAAAAAAACGGGGACCGAGGAAGCGACGCACCTGCATGGGAAGCCAGTTGTACAGGAACCAGAAGACGTCAAAGACGGAGCCCAAAGGGCGAAAGCTTAGGAGGAGGGGGCAGTGTCAACCACGTTGGATAGCAAGGAGGAACCGGTCATCGAAGCGGGGCAAGAGGAATGGAGACAAAGGGCCGTAGATACTCGGATACTACCGAGTCCGAATGAGCGTCATGGATGGAGAGGAAAGGAAAGAGAAGAGAAGAATGGCGGATGGGGGAGTTTAGCGGGCGGAGAGCAGATGAGGGTGAGAGACTGTGTACTGACTTCCGCACCTGACATCTTACCCTTCAAATTGTAATCCTTCTATATTAAGAGCTTCTATCTAGGGGCTTCTTTTTTTTAATTCTTGATTTTAGGCCCATAAAGTCTTTTAGGTCTTATTTCATTGAGAACTTATTGGCTCCACTTAAATGGGGGATATGGTGGACGATCGGTTGATCTACATCCTCCACGTTCTATTTCTTTCTTCTACTTGAATTCAGTGATACCTGCTGTTGGTTCAGATTCTAACATTCGACTCCAAAGTAAGTACTGCCTATTTTTCAGACCTGACTGATAATATCTTTCTTCGATCCGTGACACCGCATTTCTGTACCTCAAGGGCTGAATCGTCTCCCCTCGGACTCATTACATTTATCTTTGACGCAAGGTCCGGATTGACATTGGGAAGATTGATCACGCAAAAAGTTCAAGTTTACCATGGCAGAGCCAATACATATCCATTTGCCCATAGTATGCTCCTATGGACAACGTAGATGGGGTCGGACCTGAGATTCCATAGGACGTCGTGTAACTTGATTCAATCTCGGGGACCGAAGACAATAGCTGGATATGCCGCGCACCTTAGCATACAAGT